CAGATCCCTACAAGATGTGCAAAAGAGCCTCTATACATTTAGCACCTTGGGTCTTTTAAGAATAAAGGATCGTTTGTACATGAACAGTTCCGGGTCTGATCTGAGCACGTTGTCTCCGGTGTAAACCAGAGGCTCCAGGGAAAGGAGGGTAGACATATTGGTTTGTTTTCGGGGGAACCAAATTGAGACAGGCTATGCACAGATGTGCCGGTGACAACACCTTTTGCCTGCTCAAGTGAGCCATGGAGCCATCTCTAGGATCCGTCGGCGCCTTTAAGGAGACTCAGTCTTTTGGATCTTCTCTCTCCCCCGTGGGCTCCAGAGGCGCCCGCAGCAAAAGGCAAACTTGCCTGGCTCATTGGTAGGGAGAGAAGTCGTGTTGGGTGGGAGCTGAGAGAGCGCCACAGTGCGCGTCTGGCTTCTTCCCTGTCCCCTTTCTTTAACCCTTCCCAAGCGGAGGGGCAGGGGCGTGCTGCTGCTGCAGCACCAAGGAGCAGGGGCTCCGATTGCCCAGGGCTCCCGAAACTTTGCGCGGAGCGTGGGCTTGACTGGGCAGAGCCGAGCCGGCTGGCTCGCCTGGGAAGCGACGTGGGTGAACGCTATCTTCCCCACCCCAGGTCTCCAGGCCATCCTCTAGAAAGGAGAGGGTGCCGCAGCTGGAGAGGAGCTGTCCCTTCAGCACCACGGACCTTAAAGCTCGGGCATTCGGGAGGCGGAGGCGGGGCAACAGGCGGGGAGCTGTCCTTTCAGCACCGCAGACCTTTGCCCTCTGGAGGAACCACCCGACCCCCTCCCCAGGACTCTTGTCTTTTCCCCGGTTTAAGCGGGGGTGTCAGGAGCAGGCGGAGAGCTTTCCTGGGAGGCTGGGGAAGCGGTGAACACTCTTCTCAGCGGCTCGCCTCCCCGCAGTGCTATTTTTTGCCATCCGCCCTCACCCCCAGCACACGCGCTCGCACACACACACACACACGCACGCACGCACGCACACACACAGACCTCTCTGGATTTCTTTGCCTGGAGTCTCCCGGGGCTGCGAAGAGCCAGGCGCATCTCGAGCCAACCCGGCAGCACCAAATACCGGAGCTATGCCTTGCACAGACCCTCAGCCTTACCGCGCTCTTGAGGAATGAAAGGAACCCAGGGACTCTCAGAAGGCAGCAGTGATGTGGACCAACCCCCTGGAATCGGCACCCTTCCCAGGGCCATAGGAGACCCAGGGAACTGGAGAGAGCTCCAGACAGGAAACCCCAGCTCTCCCAAAGTCCCCGTGGATGCTGACAAAAGGAGACCTGAATTGTTGGCAGAGCCTGCCCTAGGTTACTCAGCTGCAGAGTGATTTTTTTCCCCTCTCCTCCACCCTGTGGCATCAACCCTCCTCCTCCAACTCCCAGCTGTCCAGGGTACCATGAAGAATTATGAGGATGTGTGACAGAGGTATCCAGATGTTGATCACTACTGTGGGAGCTTTTGCAGCTTTTAGTTTAATGACCATTGCGGTGGGCACGGACTACTGGTTATATTCCAGAGGTGTGTGCAGGACTAAATCTACAAGTGACAATGAAACCAGCAGGAAGAATGAAGAAGTAATGACCCATTCTGGGCTGTGGCGGACCTGCTGCCTAGAAGGTATTTACAATTCCTCTCAAAAGGTTCAAATAATTTTGTTTCTGATAGTCTGGTGGATGTTTGCAGAGATGGAGGCAGTGATGGGGAATGACGGAGAGTCTAGATTATTGTTAAGAATATGCAGGTGTCCAGATACTGTGCCCTGCAAGACTGATACTGTGTGGGATGAAGGGGTTGGGTTTTGTTGATTGGTTTTCAGCTGAGCTTCATGAGAATGATATTTCTTGGCACTCTAGGCAGCGTCTGCAATTGAGAAGGTCTTAAAATCGCAAATCTTAACATCCAAAAATCCCTAGGCAGATGGTGAACTGCTTTGATCTCTGGATTGTGGTGGGGTCTTAGCTTTGCTTAAATTGAATTTATTTGTCAATGTAGTCTTGTCTGTTTCTTCTGAGTTTGGTCTAACTAGATATTTTCATGAACTTCCATTGCCAACCAGTCCCAGGGTGACATATCAGATTCCCCTCCTCCTCACACACATATGTTAAGAAAACTTCCTTATTAATACATCTTTCACTATTTTACATCAAAACAAAGCCCAAGTGTTGGTATTTGATATATCCACTTGTCTTCTTTCCTGCATGATTTCAAAATTTAACACATAGATTTCCATAAGATTGATATTCCCATAACTGAAGCTTCTAAATACCTTCTAAATTCACAAAATTCACGGATGTATTCCAAATGAAAATGAAGAAGACAGACAGACCAGTTTTAGAATGTCAAGTCCTTGGAGAGCCTGTCTCACTACCAAACTTGCTTTCACTACACCAAGAGTGGGAGTAAACAGAATAATAAAGACGAAAATCAAAGCTCTTTGTAGCCTGAGAGCCTGAGGGAAGTCACTAGGTTAGAGACATAATAGGGAGTTTTCTCAGATTTCTAAGGAACCGAAGACGCTTGTTAGAATGCTGGGCAAGGGGATCTGGGCTTCCTTTCCCTCCTCTCTCCTGCTTGCCATTGGTTTTTCATGCCTGCATTCCCACTGGCTGGTGTTTGTCAGGGTTTCTTGGGAACTTGCATTTATGCAAATCACTTAGGAAATCATGCTATGACATCACTTGCTAGTGTACTATTGCATCATTCTCTGGCCCTCTTCCCATGCTCTGACACCCTGAACAACTGCTGTCCTGACTGTAGCACTACTACAATTGATGTTGTAGCCATTGCAAATTTGCAACTGGTGGGAAACCCGAGTATGAACAAATGACTTTAGCTGCAGCAAAGACCACTGTGCATGAAGTCAGAAGGTGCAGATAATGCAGTAAACTGGCTGGATGACGTTGGCTAGGACATTTACCCTTTCAAACCCTCAGTTAACTAATTTGGGAGGTGAATTAGTTTCGAATCGGTCGTCTAGAATTAGTACTATCCCAAACCCATACCATAACCAGTATACTAACAGAAATTTTATGACAATCATTTTCTCAACCTTGACAAAAATTGCAATACTTGTGGTCATTTGTGATCAGGGATGGTGAGGTCATTTAATCACCTAAGAGAAATTCCACAATTTCCTTTTCTCTGTTGATAACAAGGAATCCAACTATTCCTTTTAAAGCTGTGGTTTGGTGGCTGTTTTAATGCATCCATGGTTCTAGGAAGGACATGGACACCTAAAGTGTCTCCCAAGCGAAAATGGCACAGATATATACCATGTTCCAGTTATTTCCAATTCTTCTGCCTCTTGTGTCCAAACCTGGAAATGCACAATTAAACAGTGATTTTGGCTTCCCCTGTAATGCTCTATGTGGAAACAAAAAATCGATCAGAGAATTAGTGGGGCCTAAAATTCCAGAGCCTTGTTCAGAATTTCCCATTGATGGTTGGTCTCATTTCCAACATCATGATTCACACCTACAATTTGTACACGGAACTGGAACTCCACCCAGGCATTCTGAGCTAAAGTGGGAAAAGTGAGAAAGTGAATCAAGCAGGAATTGGATCAATCTAATTCTTTAGAGAAAATTTGTTTGTCTCTCTAAAATTTGGCATAGCAATTTTTTTGTTACCTATATAGAAGTCTGGAGGAGCCATGGCAGCATGTTAAACACAGCAAGATGCTCAAATCTTAGCACAGTCACTGAATGTTTAGCTATGTGTACGCCAATATCATCAATACCTGGCTGAAATGTGAAGTCAGGATTCTTCTTCATGTGCTACCTACATCAAAGAATTTGCAGGAACCTCATACCCTGCTGGAATAAAGATGTACATATAGCCATCTCCATTGAGGATCTCCTGTTTATCCTAAAGCCTCAACACCCTCATTTTCTGCTCCTTTAAGAATCAAGGGATGACTAGGGAATATTGTAGCTCAATTTTCTTATAGATCAAATTAGAAAAGGTAATTCTCCCATCTTCTTTTAAACTTGATTACATGATTACATTCATGTAGTACAACCATTAGCACTGTCCTGTCCCCAATTATTCCACTATCATTAACATAAACTCAATGACTCCCCACTCCCCCCGCCCCCCAAATTCCCTCTTTCCTTCTCCCTTTCACCTCTGATAATTAATAATATTCTTTGGTATCTTTATATTTGCTTATTTCATGTAGATGGGGCCATCCTACTGGTCTCCTTTTGTGACTGACTGACATTCTTCAGCATGGTGTTAAGGTTCATCTGAGTAGTGAAATGCATTGGCTCATCCATACTTTTTAAGAGTAATAAGAGAATATGGCTATTTTGGCCAAAAAGAAGAGCATGCTCAGGAGGAACATGACAGCTGTCAACAAATATCTGAAAGGCTGTCACATGGAAGAGAGATTGGAAATGTTCTTTTGGCCCCAAGGGGGTAGAGAAAACCAGGTATTACCTCAACAGAAATAACTGTACACTGTGGACTGAGGCGCTTTAGGAGACTGATGAGTTCTAACTCACTGGAGATATTCAAATATAAGAAGACTGCGTTGCTAGTTCTTAAACTTGTCTAATCATTGGAATAACACAAGAAGCTTAAAAAAAAAGATGATCAGTTCCCACACCTAGATTCTTTGCTGTCATAAATCTGGAGCGGGTGCCTGGACTGTGAATTTTAAAGAAAGTTTCCCAAGTAATTATGATGGGCGAGTCAACATTTATTGAGTTTTTATAACGTGCCTAAGTATATTTAGGAGTGTTAAGGAAGCTCAAATCCCTGAAGTGAGGAAAAGGATGTTTCCAGTTTTCATTTCAATAACCCACAAGATTGTCATTTATAAGTAACCAATGTGGTGGACCGATTTTAAGAATTTCTTTTTTAAAAAAAAGCTTTTCATCTTCTAAGGAGCTCAATGATGTAGATATCATTATTATTTATTTTAATTGTAAATTAGGTGGGGTTTACATTTCATATCATCCACTTTCTCTTCCACAGTTTAAAGCACTCATCAAATCCCCCAGTAAGTTACCCTTCACCTGTCTCAGAATTGCTCCTCTCCCCTCGGTGGAGGTACCATTATTCTGCAGGTACCATTAATATCCTCACTGTACAGGTAAAGAAATGGAGGCCTAGAGTCTTATAAGTTGCCCAAGGGCACACATTTAAACGTGGTAGAGCTGGGATTTGAACCCCGCAGTACTTGGGCGAGGCCATAGTAATCCCCTGCGCATTTGCTAGAGAACATGAATTCAGGCTCCAGTGACTACTAGTTACTGGTACAAACATTAGCTTGTGAGAATGTTGAGACCCATGGGATTTTCCATGACAAAGGCCCAGATCTCAACCACTCAGCATATTGGTGCAGAGTCTGCAGGGGCACAGGAGCCACCAGACAGGCATAAACTCAGAGGCAGCAAAGGACATGCTTGGAATGGGGGGGGAAATCGACCTATGTAGAGACACCCACATTGAGAAACCCAAAGAAAGGCCTGACTCACTAATTGGAAGGCATGCAAGGCATTCATAAAGGAGGGCCCCAACCTGCTGTGTGTTTTCAATGGAAGCCTGTGAATTTGAATGAGAACATATTCAGGATGTGATTCTTTCATTAGGAAAACCTCTTGAACTCCTAGACACAATGAAAGCAGTGTATTTAGGTAGTAGAAAAATCCACCGGCCTAGTAGCAAGGGACCCTGGATAGTAATCACATTTCTGCTATGTTATGTGGACTGTGCATGTCATTTTCCTCCTTCAGATCTCAGCTTATCCAATTCTAAACCGAGGGCTTCAGATAGCATGAAGGGGTAACAAGCCCAATGGTCCACAAGGACTAAGCCAATGACACAAAGTGGGAACACGAATTTCAAAGTCACCTCAGTTCAGTTCTGTGGGGTGGGGGAGGGAGGGGCAGGGAATAAAAATAAGGAGATGAATGGCAACTGAAACTTGTGTCAGTGTGGGGACAAGGAGGAACACGGAGGACCGTGACATAGTCATCGTGAGCACAAGCCCTCTCTAAAGGTCAGCAATTGCTTGAGTTGATTTTTACCCCGTGGAGATGTGCACCAAATATGATGCATTATCCCAAGTAAATAAAAGCCAGATATCCATGTCTTATATAAAATCTTTTGATTAAAAAAAATGCTAACAACAAATTCAACTTTTTAAAAGTACTGGGTCACCTGGTAATCCATTTTAGTCCATGGATTACTAGTTTTGAGCCCAGGAGAAGGGCCTAAAAGGCCCTTTACATCCAAATTTCAAATATTTGCAGATTTGATTCCTGAATTGCTCCGTATTAGCCAACAATCATTCTTTTGACTCATGAAACAGTTATCTACTAAGAAAAGAAAGCCCTCTGAGGATTTTAGAAATGGGAACCAAAATTATGGAAAAGAGGTTTTTTTTTAATTTTAAAAAACCCTGCTATTCCTACTCCATATGGGCCTGGATAACACCAAACATCTGGCTGAACAAGTGAGGAAAAAAAATTAGTCAGTCATTAGACGCTCCCCCATATTTTCTAATCCCCAGATGGTTGACACTTTTCAGCCAGATGGGGTCCCAGCTTTATTTATGTGTTCAGAAGCTTTGGGGGAAGCTACAAAGATGTGGTTGAGGACAGGGTTGA